CCACTGTAGTTTGACGACCGCCTAATGACCGTAGACCCTCTCTCGCTCAATTACATGTGAGTCTGTCAATAATTCTAGCGCCTAATCTGACCTGGTTACAGCCTGAATCGTGCCGCGGACCTCTATCCTAAACCCTGGCAGACACAACGGTTTACTCAGAGACTTGCCAACGGGGGTGCGTAACACCACTTGCCCAACTTGTCCCTCCGTGACACTTCGCCCAGGCTCTTTCAGCGCTGGGATGATTTGTACCGAGGGCGAAGAACATCGTAGATTGCGTCGGATCATCGCCCCAGCTTTCTCCTACCAATCGGTCAAAAATCTCACGCCTCTTTTCCTGCATAAATCGTTTGAGGTAATTGGCACTTTTGCACCCGTCAACGAGTGGCTTATCCTGATTTTCAGCTCCGTGACAAATTGCGCTCAGTCCTCGCGATCACTCACGAGGTACCACGACCAGGTGTGGAGGTGGACAAAATCCCCGGGCAAGCGCACCCGCGTGTGCGGATGGATTTGCACAAATGGCTTGGACGTGCCTCATTCGATATTGTCGGAGTAGCAGGCAAGTGCAGCTATTGGTAATCCACCACCGTGCTTCGTTTGACGTTCAGTTGCTCCTTAATTCTACTTCAGCGTTTGGCTATGAGTTCGGTGCTATTCAAGAAGAGACAAACGAGACATACAATGCCTACCAATGCATGTTCGACGCCTTGCGCCAAGCTGATAACGCAATCCACAATGCGGCGATCTTCCTTCCAGACTGGGTTGCTTCCCGTATTGTGAGTCGTTTTTCCTTGTCTCTTGGGCAAGCGTCTGAATCTCGTTCAGCCGGACGCACGCACGAGGGAGGTTCGGAGGTGCCGCAGGATTATCGAGGCTGAAAGCAAGAACTTGTTGGTTAGCCGCCGAGAGGCAATTGCGTGCGAGAAATCTGCTGGTGCTTCGGTGGGAAAAGACTTTAGTATTCTGAATCTCCTTCGTGAGCATGCCCTGGTTTGTGCCCAATGCTCAAAACTAACCCAAAGTAGTGCGCACCAACGAATCCTCCAAGACACCCCTCACTGACTCGGAAATCCTTGCTCAAATCGATGCCATAATGTTTGCTGGGCACGACACCACCAGCCTTTCTATGACATGGGCACTCTGGGAGCTTGCGCGGTACCCAGCCGTCCAGGCTCGCCTTCGTGCCGAACTTGCACCCCTCGCACCTATTCTCAAGGACTTTGTCCCTGCTTGTTCCTCAGAATCGACCAACCACTATGTAGATCTCACCGGCGAACTGGGAGAGCTTGGCACCCGGATAGACGCCTTGCCATTTTTCGAGTGCTTCATCCGGGAAGCCTTGCGGCTGCATCCGAGCGTGCAAAGCACCTTGCGCGTCGCAGCTCAGGATGACATTATTCCCGTGTCTGAGCGTGTACGTGGGGAGCGAGGCGAGGTCTCGCGTGCGTGGGTCGGGGGCGCCCAGACGGGTTTGCCTGGTGGTGGCGTGAGGATCCGAAAAGGCGAGTTTGTACATGTGCCGCTTGAGGGAGTGAACGTGTCCAAGGCGGTTTGGGGTGAAGATGCGCATGAGTTCAAGTGAGTTCTGGTCTTTTAAGGTAGGGGTAGTTTGATGCTTATTGCTATGTTAGTCCCGATAGGTGGGCCAAGTTGCCCCAGGCGGCGAAGACCAGCCCAGGTCTTTACGCTAACCTCATGAACTTTTCCATCGGCCCACACGTAAGGTTGTTCCTCCACTGATGTAGTGTATTTTCCTAACTCCGTTTTGCAGTCCTGTCCCGCCTCTCGGTGGGCGCTCGTGGAGATAAAGATGATGATCGCTGTACTCGTCGCTTCCTTTGACTTCTCCGGTGCCAGCCCAATGAATGGACACAACTTCCTCGTCGTGAGGCCATATGTAGACAACCAGTTTTCAAGGGGTGAGCACGCTTGCAAATCCATCGGGATTTGTGTGCTGATGCCGGATCTTCGGATAGGTCATCGGATGCCCCTCGTTATGACCCCTCTCTAATTTACGTTTAGGTTGGTTTGAGCTGGTATTATTGTACATAGGGGGGGGGGGGTTGTATTCCAATGGTTGCTCTTTTTCTCGATGTGGCTGTTTTATTTGTTTGACCCCAGCTTGTGCATACTCCTGCTTTGATATATATCTTTAATATTAGTGCTCTTTGAATCCTTATACAGTATGCAAGAAAACCGGTCGTGGCTTCTGAGCCCTGCTAAAATAATTCCATAACCACAACCTTAGCGTGAGTGGGACCTCACCACCAGTTGTGCGGGCAACTTCGACGGCCTGGCACTGGCGGAACCATCAATGGAGGTGGGGCAGGCGTGGCGGGCGAGCGAATAACGTGGTCACCAGGGCCGTCGATGCCGTAAATCGATAGATGGAGGTCCTGGGATGCATCGTGTAGGCCTGGGGGCGTTACAGGGCGGATGGGGACACCAGGGGCGTGATCAAGCGTGAAAACGGGGGCGGCAGACGAGGTGGCAAGCGCCTGGCGTGGGTCGTATGCCTGGCCAGCTGCACGAAACGCTTGGCGTCGTTTATTGCAACGACCGGTACCCGTCCACGGTGGCGCGTTGCCCTGCAGGCACGACAAGTCGCGTGGTTGCGCTCGGAGCGCGGAACGCCGCAGGTCGCACAGGAGCTCTGTCGTCCACTGTTGCACTAGTTCCTCCCTCGCTCGTACTGCTGCGGCCTCGAGTGGCCCTAACGCATCATCGAGCAGCCGTCGGCTTCGTCAAACATATTTCAGCAGCGCCTCGAACCATCAAGCTTCGCCTTTGGTGCGCGAACTGAAAAAGTGTCGACCGCAGCGATCGTTCGTAAGCGCGGGCGGTTTTCTGGCCGAGTGGGTCTGTGGCAGGCATGACGAGGGAAAAGGGTGACGAGCACGGCGTGGGGCGCGGGTAGAGCGGCGTGTAACGGGACGTTCGATGCGGTGTGACGCGAGCTATTCGCCGACGTGTCAAGCGCGTGAAACGGGTCGGGATCAGGCGAGCAATGAGGGAAACGGGTGGGAGGTCGTTGGGGTGTGAGAGCCCGAGTCTGAAGGAAGGACAGGCAGCGAAGTGGGCAGTAGAGCGGCGGCAGCAAGCAAGGTGTCGACTGACAGCTAGGGGCGCAGGCTACTGAAGGAGCACTTGTGGTCGTGATTCGAGCGAGACACAAAATGAATTAAAAAAATCGTAGAGCGGGGTAATGGGGGCGAGTCTCAGCGCGAGAATGATTAGAGCTGCGTGAGAACAGCTGATGTGGACGTGTACAGGGTGTCGTTTGATGCGCAGAGGCCGGGGCTATCGATCGACGGCAGGGGATGGGCAGGAAACGCGTCGCAAGGGCCGGAGATACGCGATTTCCACAAGACGAACCGAGCAATGGCAAAGGCGGCGGGGAGAGCAGTCGATGGGCGCTCCATGAAGAAGAAGCTGTGCGAACAGGTGACGAAGCTGAGCGCCTGTGATATCATCGCGACTTGGGGTGCATGATCATATGTAGCTGACGGTCGTTGTGGTTCTTGTGGCGATTGGGAGGGACACGTCAAATTTATTCTCGAAAAAGTTGGTCTCGAGGATGACGATAATGAGCGCGATGGTTGACATATTGAGGTACGAACTATAGGCGACGGCCTGGGCAAAGATCTCAGCAGAGTTCCAGGAGTCGGGAGTGTTCGAGGGGAGGACACGACCGATAGACAGGGTCACGACAGTTCCGTCATTCTGGAGCGCAATCAGAAGCATGAACAGAGCAAAGTCGAATTGGCAGGCGAAGGCGAGGATGGTGAAGCAGATGATGATATGGTGGTAACAGCGCAGGCGTAGTTGCACATGTACTAGAAGATCTGGTGCGAACCGCATGTCAGACAAGTCTGACTGAGAAGAGAATACCAATCTTACGTAGTAGAGACACCGGGCTCAGTGAAGACGATATCAGCAGCACCGTGAGCAGCATCAGTAGTACCCTCGACGATGATACCCACGTTGGCGTGGGACAAGCCAGCCGGTCGGGACCAAACCAAAGTCGGCATGGTCTTGCCGTGTGTGGGAGGCGGGAACTGGGCAAGTTTAAGGTGATGAGCGGAGGTGCAGGCGTGCGCGGCATAGTGATCTGGGCCGATGAACAGAAACTGGGCCAGGGGTGAGGGTACCAAGATAATGTTGAGGACGGCGCTCATGCTTGAGGGCCCATCGCTACCCGCTCTCGAAACGAGGATTCGGGGCTAGAGGTCACCGTGAACCCGTGGTCGTGGTTGTCGTGAAGACGGTAATCGACAATACAGTGACACTGCCTCCATCAAAGGCACGAGGGTGTTGTCGAGTCCACGGCGGTATGAACGCGAGTAGAGAATGACGATTTTGAGCATTGAACCAGGCCGGGTTTGCTCCCTTGCGAGGCGCTGTAAAGCCGCCCGGAGCACCCCATTTTCTTTCATCTGACGAAGATGGCGATACTTGTGCACGCCACCCACCGCCACCTTACAACAATGCTGCTGTATCGAGGGGTAATATGGTACCCTACTCAAATCCAAGGAAACAAGTATATAGTGCCTAGTGAGGAACAATTTCAGGTGCCCACCTGGTGAGCGAGAAAGCCAAGGTCATTATCAGGCTAGAGAGAGCAGTGTAGACGAGAGGTGAGAGGGAATGATGAGAAGAGGTGTACCGCCGCTGTTGATTCTGAGGGTGGAGAGCCCAGCCAGGAGTGCCCACCAGAAGCGCCTCACTATCGGGGCCAGGAAAGGACTCTCGCGCGGTCTACACTATCGAGACGGCGTGCTGGCGCTCAGGAAGAAAAGTGGATCGGTCAACAGCCAAGTCATGTGACCATCAAAACTGCTCCGAATAGAGATGATCGAATTCGCACGGTGTTGTTTTAATAACTGGTCTTGAATGAACTAAGGTCATTAGGGCTATATTTCATGCTTAACGGAAGATAAAAGACATTATCCATTCATTACGGGTTGTAGAACTGGCAAAAGCCATATAAAAATTATTGCCATGAGTCGGACTTGAACCAACGACCTGTAGATCTTCAGTCTATCGCTCTCCCAGCTGAGCTATCACGGCTTCAAAGTAAGGGACAAACACTTGCCTTGGCCTTATTTTCTGGGGATCAGCTTGGAAAACTTGGGTCCGTTGGTGCGAAGAGGTGAGTTCAATAGGACGGAAAGGAGCGATATGATGTGTCAGTGAGGCATAAACAGATGTACAGACGCGAACATGGGTTTTCAAGCATGTCTTGACAGAGGCAGCCAGCCTCTCACGTGGAGGGAAGCGCAGACAAACAATGACGTCAGGACAAACGCCGGAAGCATTTGCTGGGATTAAAAGCTTGCTTCGTCGCCACATAACCTGCTCTTACCCACCACAGCTTCACCCAATCTCATCTACTTATGTCGCCAGCAGTTGGTCGTTTTCTACGTTGTTTATTAACTTTCGCTGCAACTTTGGTTTTCAGACCAAACGTCAAAGCGTCGTGACCCCAACTCCATCCAAGATCCCACAGCCCAAGAAGGCCAGGACTAATGGTGAGAGTACTCTCAATTAATATTCCCTGTAGTCTAAAATTGCTCGCAGAGCGTCCCAGGTCCCCTACTCCAGAATCTAGTCCTCCACCCCGACTTCCGACCCGTAAACGCCAGCATGTGCCAGGTATGTTGTGCACCGCGCATACATTATCTGCTAACCAAATTCCCAAGCTGTACCAAGTGATGAGGACTCAGATGTTGTAAGTGCGCCGTTTGCTGGGTTGATTTGTCTAACTGGTTTGACAGGATGATTCCGAGGTTGTAATCTTGGGCGACGTTACGAGTATGTCTGTTTACGTTGCTGGCTGTAACCAACTGAACAGTCTCTCAGATACCCCAAAGGGCAAGGGGAAAGCGCCTGCTGCATCCAGTCAGTGATGGTAATTTGATGGGAGGCGGCTATTTATGTTTATATAGATGCTGGGCCACCCAAGGCAAAGGTCTCAACGAAAAAGGCCAGCGAAGGTGAGTGTTTTAATTTAACAATTTTAGGAGCGAATTTTACATTTACTTAGGCACCGGGGCATCCAAAACGAAGGAAGGTGATGGGATGCCAAACGACAAGGTACAGATGAAAAAAGCTGGCGAAGGTGTGCATTTAAACGATTCTTTGGGGAACGAAATTCATGTTCGATCAGGTGTTGGGATATCCAAAACCAAGGCAGTTACTCGGGCATCCAGAGCCAAGGCAGCTGCTGGAGCATCCAAAGCCAAAGCACCGCCAGCGAACACGGCTGACGAAGGTAAGCCTTTCGTACGACTGTGTAACTTCCACCTGATCTATTTTGCCAGAACTAACTGATGCTGACGATGCTGGTGAGTTTATATATGCTTTATTTGAATTCAAGCTAATGATGGTCTAGAGCTGGCTCCAAAAACGATCTACGCGATGACTGAAATCGCCAAGAGCCACCTGAAGGCCAAGATGGAAGCTGATCGCCTGGCCATTGGGCGAGCGTTGGCTGAGCAGCAGCTGGAAGCTGCGAAGCAGAAGACCATGCGAGAGCAGTTCGGGTGGCTCGAGTCGCTTGGAAAGGTGGCTGACAAGCTGGGTCGTGAAAGTGCTGGCCCTCTCTTGAGCGAGATTGTCAACAAGACTCGTTTGAAGCTGGAGGAGGTTAAGCTCAAGTCGCAGCAACAGTCAACTGCTCTTGCGGAATGCGAGGTAAAAAAGGCGGCGTTGGAAGAGCGAATTTTGAAGCTTGTCAAGGAACAGCAGAATGCCAAGGAGGTGGAGAATACATCAGCTGAGATGCGTCTCTTTGAGGAAATTGACAGTTTTCGCGTTGATTAGCATTTTCGGCTTCATATTATGTTTTTTCTTCTTCTTTGGGCCCTGGTTTGTTCTTTAGAAGTGACTGTTTCGCTCTCCTCTATCCTTTTCTGAAGTGATGGCTGTTCTGTTAGTTTGCATTTGTCCGTGGTTCACTTTCCTAGATCGTTTTGTTGCAGATGGGTTGTATTGTCAAATATGGTTATTTATAAGTTACTGGATAGCCTGAGGGCAAAAAGGTGTGCGTAGTGAGTAGTGGACTGAGTTTCCTAAGTACGTCAGCAAAACCCGTATATTCCATTGAGCTCTCATGAGCTCTCACGAGGTGCACTTATAAGCGCGTGCAGGGTTCTCGGTGAGTCTCGTTGCCGCCTGTATGTCGCTTATAACACTCATCGAGTCGACCCTCGTCGACGCCCTGCTCCATCGCGATGTCCTTCTGATCGACCAGCAGCTGCTCACGTTGGTCTTTCGCGAGGCCCACAATGCACTAGAGAACAATAATGTCGAGGAGGTTCACGCCATCCATCCCGCTTGACAAGGTTGCGTCATATGACTGCACCAACCCGGCCATGTTTACCTGCGTGAGGATTGAACGACATCAAGATGCTCCAAGGCGATCCGGATGCCGAGACGCCACCCAATTACACACTCAAGCTCTATGTTTGCAACCCTCGTTCCCACAGTGTCTTGCTCCTCAACAACAGCATTGCCGACATTAGCCTTATTGATGTGCCCAACCTGAATCGTGACTCGGTCAAGACCACCAGCCTGTTTGCATGCCAGGAGGAAATTGACAGCGTCGTATTTTGCGTCAGCGCCGAGAATCACTGCCCAGTGGGGTGCATTCTAGATTTGGCTGCCTCTTGTATATACGTTGCATAAATAAATCTCTTGATTCCCGTAACTACATCATCTAAGTTACCGACCCTACTTGCGACGTTCCATCTCCTTCCTAACCACCTCACGAGCCACATCTTCACTATTCAGAAAGTTGTCAATCCCACTCTGCATCTCTGGTGTGAGGGCTGCCTCAAGAATTTGCTCAGCCGAGAGACCCGGCCCTGGTGCATGCAAGACACCATCGTGCATATATTCCAAAAACTCCTCGATTGCCTCTGCCAGTTCTGGTACGAATACCTTGAGCTCTTCAGGGTCAACCTAGTTTGCACAAATCAGTGAGTATACCTAAATATTAGAATGAATACTTACTTTGCATATCGCAGCCATATCCTCCACCTTTTCACTGGTAAGGTTTTTCCACCACTGAATCCGGGCCATCTCATCGTCGTCAAACTCCATTCCTAGCGCAAGTTCTGCAGCCATCTTTCGGGCCTTGAGCGATATCCTAGGGCCCGAACCAACGCCCCGTCGCCGGTTGTCGTGCGCTTCCTTCAGAGCGGAAAACCTCGGCTGTTCAGAACATTCCGTAAGGCAGTGCTCCTGCATTTCTGTAATGCTTGAGAAACTAGTAACTAATGTGTTAAGCAAAATTCCATAATGAAATTGGGGCAACGGACCGTTTGCCACACTCTTGGAGAGGGCATTTGAATTGCGAGTCTATCTCCGTAACCATATAAGCAGCCAGGTTCATCCAGTCGCTATGTGTCTCGCTCCTAAGCACATAATTAATATGAGAACAACACGTTTGAGCATACTGACTGATGACGTAAAAGCCTGGCCCTTGAAGGAAACTCGTCCTTCGTTAGCAGCGTCTTTTTGTAGATGCCAACCCTTTGGGATGGAGGCAGTGCTCGGCACACGAGGCATGGCCACATATTGTTGTTAGCCTATTGTCAATTAGATGTTGTCCTTTCATGATTAGATGTAGAGGCGCACCTTAGCCAGAGCTTCCTCCGCCGCCTGCCTAATTGCTGGATAATAAAGGGCTTCCATGAACGCCTTGACCGTTTGGGTCATGTCAGCATCGATCACCTGCATCTCGTGTTTGTCTGTTAGCTTCGGTAGACTGTGCTGAATTTCAACCCCGTCGCCCTTTGGGCCCAAGTTGGGCACATTGGGGGCTTCTTCAGCTATTTCTTGGGCAACTTCCTCGTCTCTGGCCTGCTGAGTCTCAAGCAAGCCCAGCAAAGCTGGGTTGGCAAGCTTTCGAATCGCTTCCTCGGTCAAAATCCCACGGCCAAATTCGCCCTACAGAATATAATTAGCTGTGTAGACGTGTGCTGTTCATCGCTAACCTTAGTAATGGCAGCTGCATTCAACATCTAAAAACAATCCAGCCAATGAATGCCAACGAACTTGATATAAAAAAGAAACGCTAACCAAAGGCTTGAACTCCAGTTCAGGGAGATTATCGTCCGAGGTAAGTAGCTTGTCGATTGATGCATGTGCGGCATTCTCTTGCTCAGTTGTCCGGGACTGATTTTTCATCGCTAGTTTGACCTCGCGAAGCTTTCGATCCTTCACAGAACGCTTGGCAGCCCTAACCACCTCTGCCCGCTTTGGACCAAGCGTCTTTCGCAGCTTCTCTTGGATCTGCACTAATCACTTAGAGTAAATGCAATAAATTCAGTTATATCACTTGCCTCGTGGAGTTCCACCTTGTGGTCCTGATAGTTCTTGGTGCCCCCGTACTTTGTAAATGCCTTTGTGATCGATGCAATGTCGCTCTGGCCATGTGTCTTCCTAGTTTCTGGAGGCATAAGCTCGTAATACCTTTCCCAAGTCACACGAAGCTCATCCAGAGCTTTGAGGACTTCGGGTCGAGCCTATAAACCAGACATTAGAAAAGTCAATACAGGCGTCAATTCTACTCACATTAATGGCTGCAATGTCCTCTGCCGTGAGTTCTGCCGTAATTGGCTTTCCTTCAGGCAGCGTCGTCTCATCTTCTGGGTTTGATGATATCGAACCTGCGGCTATAAGTGCTCGCACCACTGCCTCAGGTCGTGAATGTCGTTTAAGGGCCATCTAATCATGGGAAGTGAATCAGAGTAGGACACGAAAGGCATAGAGGAGTTACCTGGTTCACAGAAGTTGCGAGATCGTCTAGCTCGCCCATAGCCACCTGTGCCACTGGAATGTTGAGCGTGTTGTGGGAATAGGAACGATTGAAAGTGGTCTGATCCTCTTCATGCGTCAGGAGCTCCTGTGCTGCTTGAGCACCTAGGACAAGCCCAACCTAATAAAACATGTAAGCGTAATGAATGGTACTGAGATAATAGTGTTACACGATCCCCTGCTTCCCGGCGGATGCTATGGCCAGTCACATCAAGTATACCGCACTGTTCGGCCATGGCCTTAAA